GGGGTGGGCTCCGTGGATTTTCAAAAATACTTCCCCCTTGACATGCACAAGCCTGGGGCCGTTGCTCTCGGTGAAAGGATCTAGGCAGAGACCGGCCCCAGCCAGGAACCCACGCGCCCGAGAGCAAGCTTGGCTGCTGGCTTGTCATGAAACCGGGAGACGCTGAAAGCATACTTTGCATTCAATCGGAGAGCTGACCCTTTTTGATCTTTATGCCTCAAAGGTGTCGGCAAACCTGGAAAGAGAAAGAGAGCGCACACGTGCGCGTGCGTGCACACACACAAACACATATTCTTAACCTGATTTTTACCACATCTTAAATTGGACATATTTCCCTCACAACGCCCCCAGATCTGTTAGGCCTGAGGGCCCAGGCCGATTTCCTAAAGAGAACGGGGCAGTTTTCATGAAGAACCCCTGAAGGTGAGACTGAAGCAGATGAATGGGGACATTCTGGGGTGAGAGTTAGGGACGTCCACCTGCCAGTCTTTAGAGAGCCGGCCATTGAATAAACGAGTACATTACAGTTAGGGGCGGTGCCTATAAGAGAGCAGACCCTGGCTGTCCTGGTACTATCTGGAGGGGGTTGGGGAGGGCAGATTCTGGCTCTATGGATCCTGCTTCATCCTTTTGTGCCGGGGGAGGGGGGAGGTTTCCAGGGTGGCACCCATAGCTGGAGCCATACCAGCATCTGGGTTGGCATCTATAGCTGCTGGGGTACAAGGAGAGCCCCTACATGCCCTACATGCAGCGGATGGAAAAGAGCTGCTTCAAGAGGTTTTCAAGGCTGCAATCTTTACAGGAGCAGATTTTATGGGAGTGGATTCCCAGGGTTTTTTCTGGGTGGCGGTTTAGAACTGCCAGCCAACCTTTTGGTTAGAAGCCAACTCCTTAAACTTTGTACCCCTAGGATACTTTCTTTTAATTTTAGGGACTGGAATAGGGAGGTGGGAGGACTTGGGGAAGTGGCTGAACTTCTCTGGGTCCCCATTGATTTCTTCTCTGTAAAACACAGGGGAGACATGAGACCCAGGGCCCTGACTCCCCTCTAGAGAGAGCCGATGACCATTGGGGCCCTGTGAATCAGGAAAGCCAGAGGAAGCTTTTGGATTGAGGGCAGGGACTCAGGGACTCTTGGCAGCAGGGACTGCCACACAGACTAACCTTGGAAGTGGTCCCTTAGCCACAGAAAATGTACCCCCGCTGGGGGTTCTGAGGAGGAAGACATTTTCATAGGACACCCAAAGGTCGATCCAGAGAGGGGACAATGGTGAGGGAACCAATGGTAATTGAAGGTCCTCCAGTGGAGGCCTAGTGGAGACATTTGGCTGATGCAGTCAGCAGATCTGGGTCTCCCAGTTTCTAGCATTCACCCCTGGGAAGATGCCTCTCTTGGCTTTTATGGACATGGAATTAGAGTGCTTTCCAAAATGACCACCTGGGGCCTGCAGACCCTGCTTGTCAGGAAAGGAGGTGTGGGGGGAGGTTAAACTCTATGGAGCATCCTAACTTCCACCTAGTGAGCAAAACTAGATATCTGTACCCACATGGCATCCCCTAGCTCCCCTGGAATTTCCCATGTCCCTAGGTCTTCAGGCCAGCTATTTGGGATGAAACTCTAAATTCACTGCTATTGGGACTCATAGAGATCCTAGGGCAAAATAGAACTGTCCCCCGTGGGTTTGTGAGACTGGAAATCTTTACAGGAGTAAATAGAAAGCCTCATCTGTCTCCCATCTAGTGGCTGATGGTTTTGAACTGCTGATCTTACTAGATCAGCGGCCCAACACATTACTGCTCCATCACCAGGGCTCCTTTTGGGTGGAACAGCCAGAGGGGAAAGTGCCTGGGATTAGCAAGCTTGGGCAGCCCTCCAGGGCCAGGGCCAGCGTGAGGCAGCTCTTGTGCCTTAGACCACTCTCCTTGGACCCCTGACCCTTGAGAGGGAAGCTCTGGTCTACCAAAGACACCCCAGGAACTCAGGGACAGGCTCCGCTGGTGGAAAAGGACCAATCTTTCTTCCGACCCCAAGTCCACGAGCTAAGGGACCAACACCCTCACTTGGTTGGGGCTGGCCCATCTACCCCTGTGAATGGAGGGGGGGTGGGCAGCTGTGGGCAGTCAGGATGAGCTTGTTGGGTTCCATTGTGGATTTGGGGAGGGGGGCACTAAGCAGGTGGTGGGCCTTGGGGGGAGCCAACAGCAGGACACTGTTATTGATCTCCCTCCCAGAGATGTGAGTTGAGTGGGCTGAAGCCGGCAGGGCAGGGTGGGAGTGGCCTTTGGTGAGCCTCCTTTTGTTGGTGGTGCCCTTTGAGGGCCCTTAAAGGGAAGGGACTCCCAACACTCCCCAGGAGAAGTATAGGTAGAGCTGCTTCCACCCAGTGCACACATTTGCTCAGGCAGATCCATGGGGATAGGGAGTAGAGTGGCAGTCTTCCTTCATTCTCCTGGGACCCCAGGCTTCCTGCCCAGGGGAGGAGAGGATGGCCTTGGGCACACAGGGATTGACAAAGTCAACTGCCCTATCTGGGTCTCAAGGGTCATGGGCTTGGAGTTTCTAGGAGCCACAACTCTGGGCAGAGCAGGGTCCCCTGGGCTGGAACAAACACACCAGACATTTAGACATTTGAGCTGGGTGCAGCTGTGTCATTGGCTGTGTAGTCCCCGGTGCCTGCCCTCCGCCAAGCAACCCATCACTCTGGGCTGCATCCTGCTCCCCCAACCCTCCCCTGAAGCACCCCTGCCCAGGGCACAGTTGGACCTCCACTGTCACAGGACTGTGTGCCACCTCTGGGGGCTGCAGTGTCACTTACAAAGAGATTTATGTCCCTTTGAGGCCCTTGTACTTTCTTTACCTGCCTCTGCCTAAGGTTAGGGTTCGCAGCCCTTTCCTACTCTAGCCCTGCTTTCTTGGCGCCACCACCCCACCCCATCTCCTCCCCATGCAACTATAGCTTCAGACCAGACTCCCCTCCCCCGCTAGTGGTTTGCCCGAACTCTTATCTGGCCAGCCTGGACCTAGAGCTTAGGCCAGGCCATCAGCAACAGGGCTTGAAGATACATCTCGGTCCTTTCTCCCTGGGGCGGTTCTTGGGGTAGGGATAGGTCTTGGCTCAGGCCACAGGGCAAAGTAAAAGGCTCCAGACACACACCCAGCGCCTTGAGCCTAGGGTTGAGCTGGGGCCTGGGGCCCTGATGATGACACTCCCTGGCTGGCTGAGCACCTGTGCTTTAGGCTGGCGGTCTGCCCAGTGCAGAGCTGGCCCAGAGGACCCCCTGTTGCCACATCTCCACAAAAGGGTCCCTCAAAGCCACACAGACCGCCACCTTCTCCTTCGCTGGCTTCTCTGGCTTCCCCACCACCCAGCTGCTGCCCCTTTGGGGAACAGGGGTCCCTCTCTTGGCTGACACCGCCCCCCCCCCATGTGAGCTATACCCTCTTCAGCTCCTTCCCTATCACCCAACATATGGACCTCGGGGGACCATCCTCAGGGACCTCTGAGAGTCATGCCACTGCCAAGGGGTCCATGTTATAGTGAGAAGCCCCTGTGGTTTCTTGGGAGTTCCTTTCCAGTCCAGCACCCACTAAGTGAGCTGGGTGTTTCTGGGCCTGGTGGCTGATCTGGGATTCTGGGGCCCCCAGCGTTGGCCACTCCCCATGGAGTTGGGTCCTCAGCCTGAGTGCTGCCCTCAGGGGCAAGCACAGAGACACAGCTGGAAAACCAGGACAATTAGCCAGCGGCTGGCGGCCCCGGCCATAAAAAACGCAGGAAGCGGCCAGGGCCACCGCAGGGCGGGCGGGGAGAGGATGGCTGTCCCCAATAAAGTGATTGTCCCAAAGAATGCCAGGATTCCTAAGCCACAGGCTCGAGCCTGGGCCTGGGCTTTGGAGAGGGGTGTGGGGACAGAGAGAGAGACTGGATCTCCCAGGATGAGGGAGATCAAAAGTCCACAGCGCCCCGTTTCCCCTCCCCCAGGCCGCATCTGAGCCCGCACAACCTCTTTCTTTCTCCTTCTCCGCAAAATTATTTGGGTTGTGGAATGGGATTGCGATGTTTTTCTGACCTATACTTTTAGGACTGTTCCATGACACTGGCGGATGGTGCTCAGCTAGGGAGGAATGATTGTTTGGCCTATTCTAGTCTCTGGGTTCTGGAACATACCAGGGGAGCGCTCTCTCTCTCTCTCTCATTCTCTTGCACCATCTCTCTTACACACACACCACTACCACGATCCCCACGGCCACCCCTCTCCCCATTCCTCCTTAGGGTGGAGACCCAGGCGGCACAGGCTCCTGCCAACCTGGGCTATTTCCCATTCTGCACCCAGCACCTAGTGGTTGTCACCTGGAAAACAGGGCGAGTGAATCCCCACCTGGGCTTTGTCCCTATTCCAGGGAAGTGTCAGGAGGAAGGGAGAGAGAGTCATACTTGTAAGCGCCCCAGCCATGACAGGAGGGTGACTAACAATGATCCCGGAGACCTAAGAGCGCTTGCCACTGACAACGGACAAGAGCAGGTCTCCAGGAGCGCGCGCCAAAGCGGAGCGTTCTCGGAGCGCGGGAAGCCCCCCCGCCTGCGCCCTGCCTCTGGCAGCGGACTCTGGGGCTTAGAGAGGTGGCGGCCCTCGCTGCCCAGCCCATTTCCTTCGCTCTTTGAAAGGGACACGGGGGAGCGCCAGGGGTCCTAGCTTGGCGCTTCTGGCCTTTGCGCCGGACAGCTTCTGAGCCAAGCCCACCACTCAACCCGGGTCCCCAAGGCGGTGTGTGTGTGTGTGTGGGTGTGTGTGTGGGTGTGCGCGCGCGTCACTTTCCGCCCTAGTCACTAGGACTCGGCTCTTCAAAGAGAAGCCAAGGGCACCTCTGTCAGTCCCTTGCCCCCTCCCCACTAGTAGCTTCCCGGAAGCAGCGTTGACCAATGGTGGGGCTCCCTTTTCACCCCCTGCGGTGCAAACTGTGGGCGTTGGGATAATGGTTTCCTTTACAACAAAGAACACGCTTGTAAAGCACAAGGATGGCGCAAGACATCCAAAGACAGAGACCTCCTCCTCGCTGTACTGTCAGACCACGGAAAGTCCTATGTAACACAGTAGACATTCGGGACTCCTTTCCTCCCTTGAGTCTAGCCATTTATTGAAATATCATAAACATGTAATGCGTGCAGCTCACCGAGAGAATACAAACTGAACGCTCTGAGTAACCGGCATGTCGGCTACCAGAACCAGACGGGAGCCAGCCCCCCAGCAGTGTCTGATCCTCGCTAAGTCACCGTCTCCCAACACAGCCACTAATCTGACACTGGCCACACGCTCTTTGGTTTGGTCGTTTGAAAAAAGTTCGTTTTCTGTTTTGTTTTGTGTTCCGTCTTGCACGTCTATGTTTTACTAACTGATGGGGCTGTACCTGCAATCTCCGTCGAAAACCAGAATCTTAATTTTCTTGGCTTTCTTGAGCAAGAAGTGACTCGCCTTGACAGTATGTATGGTTTGGGTTTGGGGGTCTTATTTTTGGCGGCGTGCTCTTTTTTTTCCCCTGTGGGTTCGCGTCGGGAGGCCTCTGTCCTTCTCGCCTCCCGGGTCTGCGGGCTGAAACAGACTTATCAAAGCAAAGTCGACCTTTCCTCTCTGGGGGGCAAGGAGTTTCTAAATCGCCCTTTCCTTGTGGTGGATGCCTACAAATACCACAGCCCCAGGTCTCCAAACTCAGGTTCCCACCAAGATAGTCTCCCCCAACACCCCCAGCCCGCGCCCCTCTTTTGCAAGTCTCTGGGTTCCATTCTTTGAACCTGTTGAATGGAGGTTAAAGTGCACAGGTTGGAAGGAGGAAGCTGGAACAATACTGGTTTGAATATGTAGCTGTGATCGGGTCGGTGCCCTCTCCGGAGCTCCCCCCGCCCCCGCCCTTATCTTTTAAAATGCAAATCAAGAGGGAGGGGGGCGTTGCGCACTGGGTGCGCTTTGCGCCTCGACGTCTCCAGCCATTGGTGTCTCTGCCTTTACTAATAGAGTCTTGTAAACACTCGTTAATCACGTAAGGTCACCGGCCCCGGGCTCCGCACGCCAGCCGGTGGCAAGTCTTCTCCGCCTCCTGCGGCCGAGTAGGGAGGGAAGGAGGAAGCAAAGGAAGCAGGCTGTCCGTCAGGAGCGTCGGACCAGGAGGTAGGAGCGCCAAGGAGCCCGCGGACCGCGCCCTCCCGGGCGCAGCCGCCGCCTCCCCGCGCGCTCTCGGCCTGCCCCGTCCTCTCCGCGCGCCCCGCAGCCTCCAGCCTCCGTGCCCAGGCAGCGATGGTGAAGTCTGACCCCGGGCCTTCGCCACCATGTACGTGAGCTACCTCCTGGACAAGGACGTGAGCATGTACCCCAGTTCCGTGCGCCACTCGGGCGGCCTGAACCTGGCGCCCCAGAACTTCGTCAGCCCCCCGCAGTACCCGGACTACGGAGGCTACCACGTGGCGGCGGCGGCGGCCAACTTGGACAGCGCTCAGTCCCCCGGGTCTTCGTGGCCCGCCGCCTACGGTGCCCCACTCCGCGAGGACTGGAACGGCTACGCGCCAGGGGGCGCCGCGGCCGCCGCCAATGCCGTGGCGCATGGCCTCAACGGGGGCTCCCCCGCCGCCGCCATGGGCTACAGCAGCCCCGCCGACTTCCACCCGCACCACCACCCGCACCACCACGCGCACCACGCGCCCACCGCGCCGCCTTGCGCCTCGGGACTGCTGCAGACGCTCACGCCCGGGCCGCCGCCTCCCGCAGCCCCCTCCGCCGCCGAGCAGCTGTCCCCCGGAGGCCAGCGGCGGAACCTGTGCGAGTGGATGCGGAAGCCGACGCAGCCGTCCCTTGGGAGCCAAGGTGAGCGGCGTCCCGGGCTGCAGAAGGAATATCTGGGTTCTCGGAACACTGCGTTCCGTTTAGGGCGGAGGAAAAGGGGCGGGGGTGGAGTGTTGGTCCCCTTCCTGGTTCACCACCTTGGGAGCAGCTCCCAGCGTGAGCTGGCCGGCCCTGGAGCCCACTTGCCTAGCACGCGCTAGGGGGGCACGGCTCATGGGCTCAGACTACAGACAACCTAGTATCTCCCTGCCCCACCTCCAGCTCTGCCGAAGCCCGGACCTCCTCCACCTGACCTCCCCACAAAGGCCTTAGAGCTGGCTGGTTCGAGGTGCCTAAGAGGAGCTGAGGCTGAGCCTCGGGCCAAGTGTGGTCAGCAAGCCAAGACGAGGGCGGAGGCAGGCGGGCGCCTCCAACCTGCAGTTATCGCTGGAAAGGAGATGCCTCGGGAACCCAGGGCGAGGGCGGGGGACACCCGCTACGATCTATGAACCCTGCATCTGACAAGGGCCAAAGCGGTTATTCCAAGCACAACTTATTCCGAACTAAAGCTCGGGTCTTTGACAGAGAGGCAACAAGGTCTTCTCTTGTCTGCCAAGAGAGCACCCTGCTGGAGAGGGGGGTGGGTGGTGGTGGTGGTGGTGGTGTGTGTGTGTGTGATTTCTCCCCAGTTCTCTGCCAGGGTCTCTGGAG